ACTGGTTCATCTTCGTCTTGTTCTTGTAGTCCCGAGGTTGTTCCCCAGTTGGAGTGCTGGTAGTTCTGCTGATACCACTGGTGTGACCACCAACCCCCTCCAGTGGACCAGCTCCAGTCTTGCCAACTGGACCAGGGTTCACTGTTTCCCCATTGTTGATTGGTCACTTCATGCCCAGTGTGATCTCCTAGGCCCTCTTGTCCCCCTTGTATGCTGCCGTTGTCCGTGGCTTGTGAGGAACTTGGCATTGCTGAAGGCCTCCACTTGGTGTCTTTCTTTTGTTCCTTCATCATTCGTGCCAAGGAGCGACACATCTTCTCATACTCCTCTCGATGCCTCACGCAAAATGCGGTCATGCTTTCTCCTCGTTGTCGGCGAAGGGTCTTGAAGTAGAGCCGGAGGAAGTTGCCCACCTCTGGTAGTGCTGGTTCGCCGATGGTCTCTTGGAGGTGTTTCAGCAATGTCTCAACCCCTGAGGCCTCACTAAGCCAGTGCGACTTTTTCCCCATGATGGCGGTCTTGGCAGCCCCGCTCAATTCTGCTGCTATTTTTGGTCCACAGGTGTAGCGAGACTCGATCTTGGTCGATGCGACATACAGTCTGGCTGCCTGCTTGAACTCTAACCAGGTTGAAGGATCCCCATTCCAACCTGGTACCCCATCTTTGGTCCTTGTCAAAGAAGACGACATAGTCGGTTCCTATAGTCTCGAGATTCTCGAGGATCACCTGCTCAAAGATCGTAGTCCGTGAAGAGCTCCGCTACCATGTAGGAACCAACTCGTCCCGCAAGTACAGCCTCCCTTTTCTCAAGACGGTGAAGCACCACGGATCGAGAGGAGGTCAGAAACATCTAAGGGACTAAGGGCCTAGATAGCTGTGGATGCACATATTAAATTGATGTACCACAGCCACGCTGGAAAGTGCAACATGGGAATGGACGCTCTGGCCCCAGGGAAGACCATGAAATCCACTACAAACAGGAGGTTTTCCACTTCCATGTTAGTGAGTCAGAGGGTAAGTATAAAAGAGTTCTACGAATCATGGTAGCCAAATGATAGGAATTCGTGAAAGTCATCCTCCAACTGGATTTCGCTTGCACCACACCCGCGAGAAAACGCACCTTGACCCATCCGCTCTTGGCCATTTCTTTATTTTGGGGTGGGGTCCGTTTCAGGAAGTGGAGCCACTGGTGCGCCAGCCTGGAGGTCGCGGAACCGATGGGTTGGCGCGATCGGAACGTGTCCCACCGATCGTTGCAGGGCTTTTTGGTTCGATCCCAATGGGGATGGCATACCCAAAGGATCCATGGGACAGTAAATATGGCTGTACATTCACCACCCAAAACCCATCCAAATGTCTCGGCGGTATTTGCGAATACCCATGGAATCGTGATCGGGATACCCATCATTGGGGGTGGTGGAACAGTGGTTTCAGTGGTCCATGGGAACTGGGTTGGATCGGATTGCGGGTGCCCCCATGGGATGATCAGTGGATGATGATGGTTAGGTCAGGTTGAAACGGCCGAGATCCCCCCGGAAGGAACGAACCAGGACATCGATCCGGTATGTATATGTTCGACGTCAGCTGTGGTTGAAATGGAGCTTCCAGTTTTGGACGACCATTAGAAGTAGCATCAAAAGTACATCAATCTTGACATCACTGGGTTTGACTCTTGGTATGTTTATCCTTGATATGATCCATTTCTGTCTCCTAGAACCCACGACGTCATATTTCATGGGCCATTTCAGGTGCTGAGAAGAACACAGACCGGGATGGGCAGGTGCAGATGGCACGAGGTAGGTCCGCAGCGCCGGCCTTGGCCGGGCTGTAGCCAGCACCTCGGTAGGTCAAGGGCTTCGTAGGAACCAGCGAGCCCCATTCCCCTGAGTACTACTGTTCATGTATACCCTAGAAGTCCAGTTCGACTATATTTGGACCGGCTGGAGAACAGGGAAGTTTCCGAACTCAGTTCCCCTTATTTTGACCATTCTTTTTATAGTCGACTGGACTCCCAGGGTATACCTCAGTGCATCCCAGGGCAAACCTATATAAGGAACCAGGGGCCCTCGTTTGGTCGAACTGGTGTTAGTCGTTGCCTGGAATCACTGGGACTCCAGCGACATCGTGGGAGCTGCCTGGATGCCCTGGGTACATGAATCCAATCCAGATATACCTCATTCACCTTTCCCGAATTGAACTGGATGACCTCTTCCTTTACAAAAATGCTTCATATCGCCAAAAGTCTCCGGAAAATGAACGAACCGGGACTCCTTAGACTCCTTGCCTTGCTCCAAACCCGCCACACGACAACAACCTCGGTGACATGGCTGTGGGTCAAAACGGGATCCTGGTTGACCACCAAACATGTACCGATTCTTCTATGGTTCGACGTGTCTATATACCGAAACCGTGGGCCATGCCATGACGAACACCGCGGTGCCATGACGAACACGGGAGGTTATGACCTCCACTTCCGCCTCAACTTGACCCTCGATGAGTCCATCCGCCGCGCCTGTGGCCGTCGCCCCTCGAGAGCGTTTCCGCGGGCGGGGCGTAATGGCGGGGCGGATCCGGGCGGAGGACGTAATGGCAGTTTTCGGCCACATGGGAGACATGTTCGAGGCAAATCCTCTCAGTCCTTCTAGCAGGGTTACTGGCCCCACCATGGATTTGAAGGGTTTGATATTCCCATACTGTTTTGTTGCGGATTGGACACTACACCAGGTCAACCGAACTCTGGCAAAATGGTCGAACGGAAGGCGAACGGGTCTGGATTCGAGCAGGAACTTTTAAGAATGCCTAGTCTTCTGGGAGTCTTAATGGAGTTTTGTGCGGATGTTGTGTCCGAACGGCTTGCGAGCCTATCGAGTCTATTCTGGTGCGGGACATGCACAGCAAGATCAGCAAGCCTACCGTGATCATTCCAGGAGATGACCAACGGTATCCGTTGTCTTCGGTTTTTGGTGTCAACTTTGACTTTGACTAATCACCAGCTATAGGCTAGAGTCTATAGAGGCGATAATAGCTTGGATGTGACTTGTTACAAGTGGTTGCAGGAAATATCGACTTCTTGCCAGACATGTGTGTTCGGTGTGTTGTGCGAGTAGAATTGAGCACCGATTGTATTGTGGGGATTGGCGATTAGTGAACCGCACATCGCCACTTTGGTGGGTCCACGTCAATGCTAAAGGTTGCGCATCCACCATCCTTGCACCATCAAAATTGCTACACTCTGGAATGTCCCCATCGCATGATTCCACGCGCGGACCGCACGGTGGAGAAACCACACGACCGAACGGAACATGGGCCGGCCAGGCGAGAGTCCAGAGTCATCGTGGTCACAGACGGGGTCCACCGGAGATGAACAGTCACTCCGGACAGATCTTGGTGCTCTGAAAGGAATGAGACAGCTCTTCGTGTCTCTGAATGCCGCCCTCAGGGACAGCGAAGGGACCTTCTGAAGGAGGGCACATGACGTCGTGCGCAGCGATGCACGTGAAACGGTCAGTTCGGTGGCCGGCCGATTTCTTCAGGGACAGGCTCAGGGATTTGGTGATGTCGACAACGGCAGGGGTCTAGCTCCAGAATTGGATCCTGCCAGCTTCAATTCCACGGAAGCCGGGCTCATGGGCTGAAATCGACGGAAGAGTTCCTCAGCAGTTCCATTTCAGAATGGTGTGACTCGTCCCATCCAGTGAGTGGATGGTGTCAGGGGCATCCCGACTTCCTTCCTTCAAGGAGCTGGCACTCAACTCCATGGAGCTGGAGCTGGATTTCGACTCTTGAAGTTTCTTCCTGTCGGATTTCTTGAATCCACCAGCTGGTGGCTGAAGGCACTATAGCTGGTGGCATCACGAACACTTACATTATGATGTATTTATGATCAGAAAGGACTTTCTAGCATTCTCTTCATGAGATCATGTTTTTCCATGTGGTGACACCAAGACACTCCCGCTCGGATGGCCAGAACCCACCACACAATCACAGAAGACCTCTGCTCCTTGGCTTTTGAGTCATCGCCCGTTTTGGCCCGGTCGACTTGGCCCGGTCCAGTGCTTCCACCCTCCGACCGATGCCGACCGATGCCGACCGATGCCCACGGGCCGACCGAAGACCCGGGCAGAAGACCGAGGCATCGACCCGGCCACCAACTTGGAGTATCACATCGAGGCGTCCGAGCGACGCTCCCGGTGAGCGTGGGGGCCGGTCGGGATGCGAGAAGGGGGGGAGTTGGGGGAGGTGGCTGTGAGTCGACACCAGACACAACACCTCACCCTACGCGATGGTCATTTGAATGTATCTGCTACGTATCTGTACCAGCACCCGTACTTCTCCGTTTCATGGGTGGTGACTTCACCTGACAAAAAGCGTAAACCAGCTCTGTTGGTTGGTAGGTTGACCAGTAAAACAAGGGCCAGGAATCCTACAAGTTTGGGTATGTGTTGGGTATGATGAAGTGGATCCTTCTTTCACCTCAGCCGACCAGTCCTACTTTCTCAGGTTCGGTACGACAGGACCCTCCTGGCACCTACATAACAGTGTCGAACACATCACCGTACCTGAGAAGGTCTTACTGGTGAGAAGATCTTTACCTTGGTGTCTCCACAGTTGAGATGGGTAGATACTTGGATTGGTCGTTTTTCCGATCACTTCCCCTCTCTCCAATCACCTGAGAAGGTCCTTGGATCTCAAAAGGGCTCATCCCGGGATGACCGGCTCCGGGGGATGGGTCGTTGAACCCCACACATGGTGCAGGCCCCGAAGCGTCCGTCTAACGTCCGACCGATAACGACCGACCTCATGACGCGAGCGTCTCTCTCCTGGTGGAGGTCGCCCGGTGGGTCTACTGGTGCCAGCCGGATCTTGGATGGGTTTCCCACTCTTGTTCCTGCAAGCAGTACTTGCAAGCCCTGGCATTCAACAGGATCAGCAAGGGCTGTGGATTGTACTACTGAGTAATAGAACACATCGCCTTTGCTCAGACTCAGACTTGGCAGGACATGCCGCCACCTAACAAGAAGGCTGTGATCTACGAAAGGCGGGTGCTGCGGCCGCCGCAATGGTTCTCCCTGACTGAAAGGGGCCTCCTGGCAGAGAGATGTCTCCTTCAACGTCCGTTGGATGACAGAAACATGCCACAGAGGTCCGGTAGCTTGATCCTCAAAATATACCAACCCTCGGGCCTTACCGTTGGATAGAAGCTGCCAACCCGGCCCTCGGACCTGGCCCATCCCGTTTTGATGGAGCACTCGGGACGCCTGTCTCCGTGTCTCATTGATCTCGACACAGCGGTCATCAACCAAGACGGGCCATGAGGGCGAGATCTTCGCCATGACACAGCTGGAAACATCGGTGTTGGCTCATCCGCGCGAGGCTGGTGCCCGCTGATTCACTAGAGAAGTCCACGGCCCCAGTGTATCCGCACAGTTTCGCCGCCGGGGGGGGCGCGCGAAATGCGCGCCACGTGATGAAGTTGAATACTCAACTTTGACCCTCCGCACTGTTCATGTTTCCATCCAGAAGACTTGATTTGACTCTTGGACATATGTGCACATACTGTATACTGTATATCGGATGCTTTCAATTTGGCTTTCCAAATCCGTGAGATCACACCAAATCCACCAACAACTCCCTCTCCAGCCCTCAAGAACCTTCTCTTTCCTAAGGTCCACGGGAACGCTCACGGAGCGCATCCATTGCTTCGACGTGGCGCAGCCGGAGGCGAGTTGGCAAAGGTCTGGTGGGTGGAATCGAAATCGATCAAACACCAATGTGAATATGGTCATGAGTCATGGTTGTTGGTTTGGTTGGTATGATGTTGTATGGTCAATTTGATTCCGTAACCACCCCTAGAATTCTTTGCAGGTTGGTGGATTCCCCAACCATATACAGGCAAGCGCGAAACTCATGCCTAACTCACGCCTGCGTCCTGAAATCTATGTGTTCCAGCATGTAAACGCAGTTTTAGGAAAGTCATGCCTATCTCATGCCTTTCATGCTTCCCCCAAGCTAAACGCAACAGTTTTTGGAGCCGTGCGATCTCTGAATCCTTTCAGCTTCAAAACCACCATTTCGGATTGCATTTACAATGCGTTGAGCAAAAAGGCACGACTTCTGAAAAACCCTTTCCCCAAGCTATTTGCTACGATTTCCAACATTCAGGCACGACTTTAGCAGTTCTCTGTATTTCTCTACCCAGTCGTTTGACACCCCTGATTCCGTAACCACAAAGTCAGGTCCGAATTGGGATCCCTCTCTTCCACCAGCGACTGCCGCAACTGAGTCAGTTGCCCTCACTAGCCCCGGAAGGAGGTCCCCTACACCATGGGCTTCTTCCCGCCCCCTACACCATGTGCTCATCACACCTCGCACTTCACCTGCGCGCGCCAGCACGTGCTGGTGCTGGCGCACGCTGGCGCACGCTGGCGCACGCAGCGAGAGCTTTTCCGGAGGGGAGCGGACAAGCCTGTTCAGGTGGAAGAGATCTTGGAGCACTTTGGACCCTTCCCGGATGTGCCTCGTTTGGTCGAGGCCGGGAGGGCGGGAAGGAGGCCGACGCGGAAAGAGAGGCCGAATTCGGTCGGAGTCGTGGAGTGATTGTTGGGGGAGTTCGGGGTGGTGGTGCTTCCAGCCGGGGACAAGGGAAGATGTGAGAGGGAGAAAGCAAGCTGGTTCAAGAAGACTAACTGACACATGGACTTGGTGGCTGCACTGTTTTTTCTGTCGCCCCGGCTGCTTAGAATGACTTTCTACACCTGAAGCTCAAAGGACCGGGCGATTTGTTTAGGCTTTTCTCGCCTGACCCCCTCCAAAAGCAGGCGGACTCCCCGCTCACGAGGGGCGCAGGCGTGACTTTTTCCGAATGTCCCACCCTGGAGGATTCAGATGGAAGAACCTCACGCACGTCCCTGGCGCTTTTGAAAGACCGACCGGTTTCGGGTCCATCGCGGCCTCGCGGAGAAAGACGGGTGTCGGCAGGTCAATGCCATGAGCTCCTCAGATGAGACCTTCGAAGCGGTGGAGGAGAAGGTGAGGATCCGTTTTGGATCCGTCTTTTCCCCGAATTGGGAGGCCAAAATGCGACTGGATCCCGTTGGAGTTGACCCATCCGACCGAGATGAATCAACCCCCGACTCGCTCGATCTTTTGAGGAAAACGGGTTGGGAGGTCAGGTCAAAGTGGGTGTTCCCCTCGTGGGACCGAACAGGACCGAACAGCGGTGGACGGTGAACAGAGGTGTCGTGGCGATAGGTGGCCGTGAAGCTCGACCGAACCAGAACCCGGAAAGCCAAACCAAGCACTGTTCGAACGAGGGATTCACGGACCTTCTGAGAAGGTACTCGGAAGTCTCCGAAACAACCAAACCTTCCAAACCTTCCAAACGGTTCTTCTCCAAACCTTCCAACGACACTTACGCGACGTGTCTCCCAGCATCCAGGTCGCGCTCCTGCTTCAGCGCAAGCGGGCGGAGATCGCACAGGCTGAGGAGGCGGGCCAGTCGTCTTCTTCACGTCGAAGACGAACGGCGCGAGATCAGAGCGACGAATCTGGATTTCGCCTGAAGAGAGGCGAAAACAATCCAAATGGGGAAGTGTATGAATCAAGACAGATTAGTATAATTGATCTTCATGTTCCTATAATTATTCAACAAACATGTGGGGCCAATGGAAAGGGTTTTGAGGACATCTGCCCTTCGGTGTTGGGTCCCAAGGTGCTGCGTTTGGGTCCTTCGGACGCGCACCGTTGTCCGTGGACATCGACCCGGTGAAGGATTGGTGGAAACGGCCATGGCGGCCATGCCACCAGCGCTACACCTCGCGAGTCATGGCACCTCTCTACCCCCCAAACCATGGAATCGGTTGACCTCGAACCTCGAGGAATCGGTTCATTTGTTTGGGTCCCCAAGGCCGTGCTCCCGTGACCCAGAGGCTCCCTGAAGACGGGTGAACATGGGCAAGCATCAGTTCGCCCGCCATAACATAGATCAAAGAATAGAAAGACCATACCAGGACCCTCCGACCCTCGGGGTGTCCTGGCTGGACTACCCCACACTACCTAGTGTGGCTTCCAGACAGGGCATTTGGACAGGAGGGTCCTTGTACTTGAATCCCTTTCTTACCGGATCAGGTGAGTTTTCTATTGTCCCTATGGTTCAATCCCCAAACCACCGGGAAGAAGATGGGCTGCATTTCTTCCAAGTTCGGAGCCGCAAATCCAAACGTCCGTCCAATCGGCAAACGTCGTTCATCGACGTGGCAGGCAGCTCGGGCTGCACAGGCCACTGAGGAGGAGGCGGAGTTGGAAGATCTTGCCCAGTCGAACCGCGCCCGTTGGTCAAGGGTGCCGTTGGCATGTCATGTGCTGTTCCAGCGGTTGGTTTTGGGCATGTCACATGTCATGTGGGTGTGCTTTCTAAATAGGGAACCCTCCCACCTGTATGGATCCACATAGCGAACCTGAGAAGGTGATTGGAGACGATTTATGTAGGCGCCAGGAGGGTCCAATGACCTTCTGAAAGGTGGCAGTGGATCCATCCGGCACCAATGGGTGGTCTATTTTCCTTCTTCCAAGGGGGTTTTGACTGGGGGTCCAGTTTGCAATGAACTTGTTGTGATTTAAGATCAGAAGGTCGTGCTCGACCTGTTTGCAATGAACTGCACAACGTTGGTGTGTTTGCTTGATGTCCCGCCGTGTGGCAGGTGAGATCGGATGGAACCAAGAACGGCTGGAACAAGGTGACCATGAACTTGAAAGTGCTATGACTACACTATACTCGATAAAACCCGTGCATGGCTCCAATCCCAGGGATGCTACCAGCAACCCCAGCAACCCCAGGGATGCTCAGGACTAATCCAAAAAACTGTACTGAGCAACCTTGGAACTTGATTTGCCAGCGAGTGAGGGTTATCAGTGCATGAGTTAAGTTTCCCCAAGAATCTAGACACCAAATCATTAGTGCGAGCGCTTCTTAAGGGAATCTCCTTCCCGCCCTTAGGCGGGGGAGCTTCCTTGAAGAAGCGTGAGCTATCCTGGGTCCAGTGTGTAGTAGCTTCCTAGATTGCTAGTACTTATAATTAAGTAGGCGCCTACTTGATTAATCAAGAAGGAGCGGGCTAAAAAGATATATAGAATTGCAAAAACCAGGTGCGTTTTGGCGTGCTGCTCGGTTTTGCCCATTTGTGGCTGTATGCATTCTCTCCTTTTTTCCTGGTTTAGAACTGAAATCGAATGCATATAGTACGAAAGGTCAGGACAAAACAGCCAACCTTCGAAACAAAGAACAGCGGAAAAGAAAGCGGATCAGGCTGGACTCAGAAAGACTCGCTTGCTTGCGGGTGAGTTGGGCTCTTTGTCCCAGTCACCCTCTTCATTTTCAACCTCACGAACCTTGCCTTTGCCATTAGCCATCCTTTGCCCTAGAAGCCCAGTTCAGTTCAATTTATGTGACCACCTCAAAGCAACAAGAACTTCCGGGACTCGGGCCTGTCGTCAGACCCGGTTCAAATGATTAACGGGACTCCCTCATGCTGGTGCTAGGCGGCTGCCCCAGTGGAGCCCGAGACGGCCGACGCCGACCACGCCGATGCAGCTGCAGCGGCTGCGGATGCGGCGCCGGCAGATGCGGCGGCGGATGCGGATGCGGCCGAGGCAGATGGAGAAGATGGGCGGAATGGAAGAGCCGGCACGTGAGGAAACACATGAATTTCCACGAAAATTCTGCAAAATCGTCATGAACAATGAAGACACTAATTGAATTGGGGGCATAGAACTGGAACAGGATGGAACAGGGAAGCAACTTGTCAACAACACATGATCCATTTTGTGGAGTCTCTCCAGCCGCACTGCTATCCATGACTCAACCCCTTTTCAGCCGCCAGAACAGCCGCGTTTTCAGACTGACCCACCTGGCAACGTCTTGCGAAGCCGTTTCGGAGTTCGCTTCCCTTCCCCGGTCCTCACCGCCCTGTTCGGCGCCGCATTGGAACCGCCGGCAGAACACGGATCCACCGCCCGAGCCCCCGTTCCAAGCGGTGCAGTTGAGCGAGTTGCCGGGCGCCCCTGAAGCGGGGCCAAACGCGGCCGAGCTCGACCGGGGCGCGGAAGGGAGCGACCAGGGAGGAGGTCATGGCGGGGGGGGGGGTACCGGGGTACTGTATAACAGGGGTTCCGAAAGGAAGTGGTGAGCCAAGCGCCATAGGGCATATATAGCCATATTGGGCTTACTGTGACTAGGGAGACACCAGTGGAGACACCCTATAGACCTCAGGTATCCTCAGGTACAGGGACAGGTATGTAGACCAAAAATGAAGTAATTTGGTCAGGGGGTCTGCCTAAGTCTGATACACTCAAAAAGGTCAAGGCCATGCACCATGATGCACCATGATGCACCATGATGCACCCTGGAACCTTAAGACGTTTGAAGACCACTTCGTGTTGAATTGCAGGGGTTGCTCATTATCAGACTCACGATTACTTTATTAATCTTCAGTTCTGGGCCTCTGTTTCGTGTGGCTTTCGGACGAACGTGCTTGGAACCATCCATGCGAATTCCAAACACGGAAGCAATGGCGCTACCTAGCTAGGGTAGCTCCTGCTTCTTTGTGGTGACCTTTGGACATGACGAGGTTTCTATATGCCCTGTAGAAGTCCAAAGACATCCAAAGACTATGCTTTTCCTGTAGAAGCCCGTCCCTAAGAATGGCCTCCTACCCAGACGCGACCCTGGACCCGAATCGTTTGGGGTTTTGAGGGACCAGTTGGGCGTCGTTCACGGAGCGTCTGGGTCTAATACCATTGATTGTCTTGGACTCCAAGGGTATGGCGTTCCTCCTCGTCTCAGTCTTGACACATGGGCCATCCATGAGGCCCGGCTCGTCCTTCTCGTCACGACACGACGCCGAGACGTCTCCCGACGAGTCTCCCGTCTCTCGTCGATGAGGCCCAGCTATGTCGGGAAGATTGAAGATGAAGTCTTCAATCTCCTCATGGAGGAGCCGACTCCCATTGGGCACATGCACATCATTCTTCGGACTTGCCGTGTGGACTGGCAGGGCCGGGATCTGATCAGAGTCACTATAGCTGACTGGACTTCCCTACCAGTGTTTTCTTTTATGTTCGACGCCCTAGAGTATCCTCAAGTCGATGTGTGTTGATATTTCTTGCTCTCTTTTATCAGGTATGTCATCTGCCGAGCCCTTGAACACATACGTGATGCAGGGCCCAACGTTTGGACACCTTCGAAGGTCACTTTTCGTCGAGTCACATCTGGTGACCACCGTCGAGTCACACCGTTTTCCGGTCACACCGCGGCCGAAAACCACCCCAAAACTGGGGAAAACCGTTCTCCAACACCCAGTTCCAACCGGAGGCACCAGGAAGTCCTGAAAACATCCCACCTACCCAGTCCTGGCCATTCATGTCCAACTGAACCACCAATTGTTTTATAAACAACAATTAGTATAAACGACCAAAAGCAACCATTTTAACCTCTTTTAACCCGTCTTGGACTTCCAGTTCCGCCGGTCTCCCGGTCTCTCCGTCGAGTACCCCGCGCCCGGGCTCCCCGGCGAGTACGTCGGCCGTCCGAGTTGGTCGGTTCTTCCCAGGAGTGGTCGGAGTTGCAGGGCGACTTGGTGAGTTCGCTGCAGCAGCTCTTCAATTGGCTCCTCGGACGCGTGGTGATGGTCCGGTGGATTCCGGTGGTGGGGGTCCGGCGTCCGGACCGCAGGGGTCTGCTGGAAGCTAACATTAGCAGTTCTCAGGACTTCACACAGCGAACTGAAGTGGGTTTGAAGATGACATGATTCTTAAACAGCTAGAGGAGGAAAGATCATGCATCGTTGTTCCAACGAACGGAAAAAGCACGCCTTGGGTCCTTGTGTCCATAGCGTGAGGATCTATGCCTTTGACGCCCCCATCGGAGAATGCAGAGAATACAGAACATATCGGTCTTCATGCATGGAACGTGTGTAACATTCATGAACCAGCCTCAACAAATCCGAAAGGCACAGATGTTCAATCAACTGGTGGATTGGTATGTGCACATGTTTTCGCAATCAGGGCGAACCGTTATACCCAAGATGCTGTATCTCAATGATCGGAAGCATTTTTCAGGACGCGACGAGGACGCCACGCTTGGGACGGTGCGAATGATTCCCCAGAGATTCAGGGGGCGTCTGACCAGCTCCAGGGACTTCATGGTTGGCTCGAGAAATCACTAAGTCCACAACAGCACTGGAAGAAGTCCGGCGTTCCGCATGGGTACAGGGCTCTCATGGCGATGGAGATCCCAGTGTCTTTCATCAGTGGCCAGCGAAGGCTGGTCGAAGCGAAAGAGGACACGACCCTTTGACGAAGGCTAGTTGATCACACATGGAATCCAAACCGCACAAACGACCCTCCATGAGAATGCCATATTTGCCTACATTGGGGTTGTTTGGGGTCAATGTTGGCATTTGTTCCATGCATGGAGCGTTTGGGTATGGGTATCGAAACACTATTTCTTCATACCAGGAGTCACAAAGGGGTGTCCAATGAAGTACCCCACACTACCTATAGACTTCCATTGAGCACCCCTTTGTGACTCCTGGTAGTATGTTCTTCCAAAAGCATTGGGACTTTTTTGATCTTTTCTTTTCACTTCGGGAATCAGAGACTATATTTCCTACCAGCACCTTCATGTCGGGGTCACCTGGCTGGTTGCGCCCCAGCCCACTACTAAGGGACCCTCCAGACAGGACACCCCGAAAGAAGGTCCAGGTATATTTCTCTTTAGGTGATCCGATGAAGGACGGAATTTCCTTTACTTCGCCATCGTGCTGCACCATCCTGTTCAAAATTCGCTTGAACAAACTGATGTAATTACACGTGCGCACCACTCAGTGTGGATGGTTGGAAGGACAAGATATACATAATCAGGGGGAAGAAAGAAAAACCACCCGAAATCGGTGGTGCAGTGGTGCTGGCACATGTTGATTCTTCTTCACTAAGGGGTGAGGAACTGGCGGATTTGGGCCATGCGTTGCCGCCAAAAAAACACGCGTTGCTACAGGACGGGGTCGAGACTGAAGCGCACTTTCCAGGAACTGATTCCAAATGGGTCTGTATCAAAATAGGGAGACCTCCCAGGAAGAAAGAACATAGACTAAAAGCTATTGGTTGGGTGTCTCCCTATTAACATACACGCCCAAATGAGTTTTGGCCATCGTGAGTGGCTTTGCACTTTGAAATGATAGACCAAGGGTCTACAGAAGTCAACGATGTCGATTTCCAGAACCAGATCGACGTGAGCCAACTTCAACCGTTGAGTAGGGAGACACATACCGCCCATTACTACATGGATTACTCTCTCTGACTCACCATGTTAGCAAAAACGTCCATTTGTTGCATGAAGCATCATCTGACGTTGGTCCGACTGGAGTCTTCCCAAGGTTGGCGAAATCATGGCCCTCAGTGGTGAATCGATCTGAGGACCGTGAGACATGTCTTCCCTGTTCCATGCTCCTCAGCCTGTTCCTTGAAGCCGAGGACCGTGCGCAGCTTCAAGAAGAAGATGGAATTCTTGGAGTTCCCTGAAGATGCCATCATGCGCAATGTGGTCACAGCACAGGTGGTTGTGAACGGCGAGAAGTTTGAAAAGGATGAAGATCTGACCTTGATTCAGGCTGGGATTTCTCCAGATGTCGAGGTTCATGTGCTGTTCACCATTCACACCGTGGAGTGTTGCAGCAAAAAACACTCTGGAATTCATTCTCTAGACCTCTATGCGGTGTCAATCCCAGAAGAGTTCACCCGCATTGAAGACAGGGCCTTCCAATCCTGTCGAGCATTGCTGCAGTTGACGATTCCTGATTCAGTGACCCACATCGGAGACTTTGCCTTTCAAGACTGCCACTTGTTGAGACACTTGACGCTCCCGGACTCTGTGACAAAGATAGGGAAGGGTGCCTTTGGACACTGTAAGTCGCTGAGGAGTTGCAAGCTCTCAGAGAGCGTGACGCGTATTGAAGCCGGGACCTTCCAAGATTGCAGCTCTTTGGTCAGCGTGACAGTTCCTGAGTCGGTGATCGTCATTGCAGACTTTGCGTTCCGGAACTGCAGCGCAATGGTGAACTTGACAATACCAGGCTTTGTGACTGAAATTCACGATGGTGCTTTCAGTGGTTGCAGTTCTTTGACGACTTTGACCATCCCTTCCTCCGTGACCTTGATTGGAGATGCTGCCTTTCGTGATTGCACTTCTTTGACGACTGTGACTGTTCCTGACTCAACGACTGCCATTGGACACTTTGTATTCAGCAATTGTGAGTCGTTGAGAAACTTGACACTCCCGGACTCTCTGACAATCATAGGGAAGGGCGCCTTTGAAGGCTGTAATAAGTTGAAGAGTTTCACATTCTCACGGAACATAACAGTGATCGAAATGGACACCTTGAAAGATTGCAGCTCTTTGGCCAGCGTGACAATCCCTGAGTCGGTGATCGTCATTGCAGACTTTGCGTTCCAGAACTGCAGCGCAATGGCGAACTTGACAATTCCAGGCTCTGTGACTGAAATTCACGATGGTGCTTTCAGTGGTTGCAGTTCTTTGACGACTTTGACCATCCCTTCCTCCGTGACCTTGATTGGAGATGCTGCCTTCCAACACTGCAGGTCGCTGAGCTTAGTGCTCCCCCAGTCCGTGCCCTTCCTTGGTTCCTATGCCTTTGCAGGCTGCATGGCCGTCCGACAGACACATGCTGCAAAAGGTGGAAGAGCTTCGAGGACAACGCTTGGCCGGAAGCCTTGGTCTCCTCCCGGCGCTGTTTCGCCCGGTTGAAACACGCCCGGTCTCAGCTCGGCGCCGGTCACATGCGGGGACGGCGGGACGACATGGCAAAAGGCGACGGTCGTGGGGCAGCTGGGAGCCTGGGGGCTCGAGAGACTTGATGCGAAGCTGAGGGGTGCGGAAGTGCTCCAAACTCCTATGGAAGATAGAGTACGTCGTACGTCGGGTTGCCAGTTGGTTCGCGCAAGCCTAAAATCCATGCAAAAGAGAAATGCCATGTGCCTTTATCCTTGGAGATTGAACCTATTGTCTCTAGTCTCTATTATTTACTCCTTGTCTCTTTTTTTACAATGTATTTTATGCATGTGTTAGACGATTTTTAAACCGTATTCCAATATCAAAAGACTGACGCAAGCGGCTCGATCGAGAATGCTTGAGATCATACGACCAGATCGATCCTGAAACGAGATCCCGCCATCGATCAGATCGCCCAAGTCGTCCACTGTTCTTGGTGCAGTGGCGGAGAGGTTTGTGGTGAAGCAAACACACAACAAATCACAGAAATGAACTAAAGAGTATAAATGAAATGACTTGTTACTGGATGCCCACTTATCAGTGGTAACACACAAAATGCACTAAACCCAACCCATCCAGTTACCACTGGTCACCAGTGCCAAGGTCGACTAAAACGAATCCCAGCGTCCCACCCCACGCTACGGCTACCTCGCACTGGGCAGTACAACTGGGAGTTTCAAAGTTCTCAAAAATATGTCACATTTTGAGAACTTTGAACTATCAGTGACATATTTCCATATATAATATATATAACTTTTTCAAAGTTCTCAATATGGTACCCATGTTGAACGATCATCTCAAAAGTCCATTTGAGCATGTTCCGGCACCCTCTGTAGAACTTCACTCCAGGTTTGAGCCACCAAGCCACCGGAATACAGCCTTGGCAATCCACCCCCCCACCACGCGAGCTTCCCAAACCCCCAAAACCCCTGCCCGAGCTTCCCAAGCTCTTCCAGCTTTGTGAGCCTTTGGTTTGAAATCTTATTTGAGCGGACAAGAATCCGAAGTCAAGTCGACCATTTTTCGCATGGTTGATCAGGTTTTGTCGTGTAAAACCGTAGAATTCAATTAGTTGTTCGGGATGACCTGACCACCACGACTTCCACCACCTCGGGACACCCCCACGACTTGGGGGTGTTGAATGTCCACCAAGGCACCGGAGTCATCTGGCGGATTTCAAGAGCGGCCTCTTCGGAGCTCCTCGGGCGCATCGCGACCGGAGGGGTCGCCGGTGTCGACCGGAGCTGAGGGATGTGGGGGAGCTTGAGTGTCGCGTGAGTGTTCCCCTAAAAGGATCGAACAGGGCTGGAGATACAGAGGACCCAGGAAAAAAAGGGATCAGTATGCAAGTATATGCTGTATATAAATTATAAACTAAACTTATGTCACACCTCTGTTGACTGCCACCGGTCAGTGTTGTCCATCCTCCCAAAGATTCCAAGGTTTTCAAGAACCGATGGGCAGATCTCTCCAAACTGTTGGATTTTGATGGATGATTCTTCCCTGAAATTTCTAGCGTGACTTTTCCACGAAACTTGCAGGAGACCCCCGAGGTTCTCCCCATTTGGAGGGCCACAGACACGAAACAGCCGTTGCTTCCGTCGCCGCGCCACCGCCACGAAACCGCCCTCCTCGGCCCTGACACCGCGGCCCGAAAACCCCCGCCGCGCAAAACCCGAGATGAAGCAGCGCTTCTCGGAGTTCGTGCAGCGCAGCGACGGGAAGCAGGACATGGTGGATGACTTCGTGGCGCGGTCGGATGACGGAGCGAGCGGGGAGGACGGAGGATCCGGTTCCGTTCGGGCGGGGAGATGGTGGTCGATGGCTGGTCGAAGAGGTGCGGAAAAGACGTGGAACAAGACAGTCGATTGATGTGGTGAGCTCCCAAGCAAGCGAATTACTTCTGGATAGAATTGGTCATGTCGTCCATCATACTTGCTTTAAAAGAGCGAAGATAGCGAAGCTTGATGGTTTCTTTTTGCTCTTGGCACACCCAGAACTCCAAGATTAGTTCCAAGATTCACTGCAGCAGTGCCTGCGAAATTCAGTCCCAAACCAGAAACAAATGGTTGTTGCAATATGGCAATTGAGATCCGCTACATAACAAGTGGTTCGGACTGGGGAAACATCAATCGTGTTTTTGGTTGTTGGGGTTTCCAGGCGAGTGTTTGGCCTGTTGTTCCATGTGGGAAACCGCAACACATCCATTGTCCATACACCTAGGCCTCTCAGGTCGTGCTTGTCCATGTAATCAGCAGCGAAGACTAGGTGTTGGTGAAGCAACCAGAATGCTTCATCCAATGACCAACCACTCTCATCCGGAGGTGAAAACTTGTACTCAGAAGGAACTGGTGCAATTTGAGATGAGACAGGATGCTATTCATTCAGATCCACAGGTGGTTCATGATACCTTCAAAGGATTCCCATGACTGCAAACTGAGAGTGTCCCTTTCCAGTTCACATGAAAAAAGACCTTGTGGAGTTGGGCTCTTTCCTGCCAGGAGATGTATACTTAGTTCATTCAAGCACTTCCAGATGGTCAAACTTGGGAGACCTCCCAGTTCGACTCCCAGTTCAGAAGGAACATCGACCAGTCACCCCATTGCGGCCCGTGTTACTTCGGATCTCCCGAACCCAGGGCCGTCACCGCCTCGGACGGTCCGAGGTGGAGCGCTTCAATTTGTTCACCGAGGAGTATCCCGAGATGCGGAAGCAGGAGCCACGGGGGGCGGACGCAACGAAGGGGGGGGGGAAGATGCGGGAAGATGCGGGAGCGAACCCGGGTGAGGCGCTCTGAGGCTTCTGCGTCATCGCGGTGCGTAGCTGGCGGTCCACGACGCTGTCTGCGGTGCAGGTTCGATGGGATGTTTGGGGGCCCCTCCATGGCAGGGGTGCGGACCATCGAAAACCCGATGTGTTTGAGGGTGCGGACTCTTAGGGCAGTAGAGAGTGCGCCAACGCAAACCTGGATGAAGCAGCACCTTGTGAATCTGGGGTCTCCAATACCATCCTACAGGAATTGGTGGATCTCTGTTGACACACCCCTTTTCAAAATACCCGGCACGTGTTGATCCTCAATGACTCAACCCCTCGTTTGGATGTTGTAAAACCTCGGATCTTCATGTGGGCTGAGGTTGATGAAACCTGGGATTGTTGTAAAATCCGAGGTTTCATCCACAATCCTCGGATGAATGACTCAACCCCCGTCCTTTGGCTTATGAATCACGCCGAGTCTCCCAATCGCTCGAGTGTCCCAGCGGAGCACGTTCCGCTGCACCGTCAACGGTGCAGCGACCGAACACTGCGGCCGGTACACACGTCCCCGAAATCTGCCCATCACCAAGACGCACCCATCACACGTCCGGCCATCTACTCCTGGTTTTGCTGGTTTTGCTTCTTTGACTTTCATGGTCTTTCTTCCCCGATGGCATGGAGAATATCTTTCGCTATTTTCCAGGTTCCTTAATTAAGCTAATTAATCCAAGTCTTGGTTCACACGTCGTGTCGGCCTTTTCGCTCTTTGTTCGGCCTTTCCGCTTTTCACCGCCGCGCGGTTCGTTTTGTTTCGACGCAGGAGCCAACGAAGGCTGAGCTGCACCTGAGGGCCGAGGAGTTGCATCAGCGGCTCAAGGCCGAGGCGTGGCCATCTCTGTCGATGGCCCATCCCAAAGGCGAAAAGCATTCGACAAGAAGCTACTAGTAGCTATAGAAGCTGGTTGGAGGCCGCTAGTAGGGAGGCCATTACTATACTATAGGAACAAGAAGCTACTAGTAGTAACGGAGAGGGGAGGTCCAACACCGGTGGGGGGGAACTTTTTGTTGGATTCCGTTGAAAGATGGCCTCCAGCCTCCACAGAGCCCTGAAAGAAATGGCCATCCCAAGAAAGTGTGGAACGACCTGAATAGAGGCCCAACGTCACCTCCCCGCTCGTGAGGGGCCAGTTAGGATTCCGTTATGATTAGGGGCTGTTAAAAGGGGCCTGCCCATTTTTGGTGGACTGCAATAGGAGTTTTTGTCGGGGCGATCTCCCTGTTTGGGTTTTCACTGGCTGCCAATGGGCACCCCTTTGGGCTGAAGCGGATGGCGCTCTCGAAGATTGAAGTGTGTGCGTCCATGCCTCTCAAGGAACAACACCTGCCAACATGGAGGGAGAACAAACCTTCCTACGCGGGAAAGACCTGGTTGTGTAGTGTAAAATCCTTAGTACAGCAATGGTGGTTCGGTAAAGTCGACTATAACATCATATAACATCAATTGTGGTGGTTGGAAGGATTAAAATGGAAACACTTGCACCAGCACAAATTGCTGGTCGAAGCTTCAGAGCTTTCAAGTCCTTCAATGGAATATAACCCCACAAAGAAGCCAAGCAAGTACCCTAAAAGACCGCACAGATTCCGGTTTTTTCTTGTCCGCAGAATCGACGGAATGGTTCGTCCATTCGGAAGATCGAGCACCGACCGAAAAAACGTGCCGGGACCGGGTCTTCCCCGCCCGATCGCTGCCCGTCCGTCGTCGACTCCTGCCGTTTCACGCAGCGATGCGGGTGGTTGGGAGTCGAGTCGAGTCGAGGTGGAGAAGCAGTCGAGCGAAAACCTGGAGCAACTCGAGGTCGGCGATTCGCCCGTTTCGTGCGTTCCGTGTCGCGCACGCGGCGAGCCCGGTCCGCCCCAGGCGGACCCGAGAAGCGGCAAAAGGGGGTGAGCGGCGAGTGGAGGCGAACTGCGAAGTGAACACGAGTCGCAGAGTATAACTCCATCCAAAGCCACCAACGAAGGGAGTGCCCTGTTTGCTGAAGGGAGTGCTTGGTGCCCAGTTTGCTTGTGTCTTGCGCATTAAAACAGTCAGGACCTGCTAAAACTGGATCTCGCCAACGTGCTCACCATCGATCTCTTTCGACCATCGCCCTCGCTTTCATCGCGCCCGACGAAGTCGTCGCATCGATGATGGGCGTCGCGAAGTCGTCGCGGAAGTGATAGATCGCACCAGAAGAGATTTGAAAATAGCTGGAACCTATAAGGACAATTGGATCATTAAACCGTATGCCCTAGAGGTCCAAAGACATCCAAAGACGATATTTTGACTGACTGAAGTAAAGGATATTCTTGAACTCGGGTCACCTAAAGACAGCTAAAGACCCTTCAAATGTTGATAGTCTTTGACTCCCAGGGTATGGACCACCTGGCGTGATTTCAACCAGGAACCGACCACGGCAGGTGATGCAGACCAGCCGTTGGTTGGAGTCGCAGACGGAAGTTCTGGCGTCCCAGGCCGGGATGAAGCCGTTCGGGGTGGCGCGAGGTGTTGGGCTGCATGAAATGGATCTGCAGTCATGACACCTCTCCCCACCTTCCCCATCAAACCATGGTTTCGGGTTGACCTTCCTGACAGAATCTGTTCATTTGATCCAGGGGCTGGCCCAGGTAACCTTGCCTATATCAGACGTGCGATCATGTGCTTGATCTCTCGGAAAAACCAAGCACCCGACACTCCTCGAAGCCCAGGCTAACCCGGGTTCCGAGGCGAGAGGTAGACGGGTCGATGTGGTGAACTGGGAGGCCGAGCTACACACCAGTTGTAGCACCCCATTTTTTGGGGGGAGAAGACAGGATCTGTGGGTGGGAGTGGTTGGGAGGAAAGAAACACCTGACAGGTGGGGAAAGTGGTGAAGATATCGAAAGAGTGGACGTTCTTTCTTCCGCAGCTGGGCTCCAACCAACCAGTTCGGACGGGTTGTTGTGGGCTTCGAAGAAGAGATGAAGAGATCATTCATTGCAAGGCCGGCTTTCGGGACGCAGATGCGAGTATCCATTTTCCTTCAGCTTGGGAAGCCGAGGCAAACGCGTTTGCCCAGCTGCAAATGCGGTAGAGCTGTGTCCACCAAGTCTACACTCTCCTCTACATGCAACAGTTTGGAACGCGTTTCCTTTCCGACAAATGACAGTGACTGGCAAGTGCACTATAGTGCCCGCCAGATAGGAAAGAAGATCCCCTTTAGACATGCAGCGACAGATCATGGCGAAGCCCCTGAGAAGACAAACGAATCGAAGCCGGTTTCACTGCGTCGTTTTGACGCTGCCCCAAAGCCATGGGCATTTGGCGAAGCTTCGAAGCGCATAGTGGGCTGCCAGAGCTTCATCTCTTGCTGACTAGCGACCCAGGCCTGGCCGAGCGACCCATGTCGGTTGTAGCTGTGCAGCTGGGGATCGAGAAGATGTTTGGAACATGGGAGATGTTCAGCTGATGGAATGGATGTGAATGGATGAGACCTTACGAATCCAACCAGGGAACGCGGTGATGCACATTCATGCACATGCACCTTCAGATGTTGGACCTAGCCGTCACTTGAAGACACTGGGAAGAAACACCCCTGTTTTCGCAGAGAAGTTCGTAGTCATCCAAGGGTGTTTGGGAAGGCCTGGTTGTACTCGCAGTACCTGCACCACTTCCAAATACTTCGAATTCAAGGCCCTGAACAACCCCAAGAATCTTTCTCGGGAATAGTCACAATAGTCTTTCTGGGCGTTCAATTCCCAGGGCGGCCCTATGCATGCGTTTCCTTGGGCCCTCAAAGACTAGCGGTTTTCAGGGTACAAGTACAGACCGGACTTCTGTTGATGTGGCGTTTCTGGAACGATGTGGGGGGTGACGGGCTTCCAGCAGGTGTTCTGTTTCGTCACGCGCAGTCATGTCTCAGTGGCCAAATCCACTTTCCCTAAGGCTCAGGTTTTGACCCCACAAACGGCTCAGGTTTTGACCCCACAAACTGCTCGGGTTGACGATCGAGATGTCCAGCAGTTGCTTCGGAGAATGAACTTGCTCATGCTGGCATCGCCAAAAGACATGGAATGAATTAGGCATCGACAACGATGCATGAGTGCTTTCAATGGATCTACAAGAACGAGCTGACCCCCTTTTCTTGTGTCTTTTTCAAGGACGTGATCGAGAAACGTGAAAATCGGCGACGGCGATGAAACTCTCCTTCTCCGCAAGCTGGACAGGAGAAATCGAGGATTTCTTGTATTCTTGGAAATCGAAATATCACTTTGGTCTGGATTTGGCTCCGTGGCTGTTGGCTGAGTGAATTGTTTCTTCGGTAGGAGGGTGTGGGGGAAGAAGGGTGTGCTCACAAGAGGGACCCCCTGCGTGCATGTGGCTGTATGCCAAATATAGAGACCCATTGGATAAGGGGAGGACCGTGTTCCGAGCATTTGGCTACAGCCCAAGTTGAATGACATCTCTTTTTGTATCTTTTCATCATTGGCTGCATCATGCTTTTGGGGCAACTACTCCGGACGCGTTCTGAGTGTCTGTAGAAAGACCATCCCTCGAAGAGATTCGTCTTGCAGAGTTGGAACACCCTTGTCCTGGAAGACGAAGAGTTTCAGTGCTTGTTGCCGTGCCGGAGGGCACCATTCCTCCAGGAGGTTACCTCTATCGGCCCTGGCCATACCTGGAGTTTCCAGAGAGTCCAGCCTTGGACGCCCTGGAAGACCCCTCAAGAATTCAACATCACCCGTCAAGGGAAGGGCAATCCCATGTAGCCCAGGTGCCAGAGGTCTATCCATCCATCAATCAACATCCCATTGCTTTATAGCAGGGAAGGGCAATCCCAACGTCACCAGTCACCATTGGTTTCTTCTGAGACCTGAGGAGATCCTGTGACTCAAGTCACGGTATGAACGTCACAGAATCGCCTCGGTCCGGAGGTCGGAGGGCGGTGTCTCGCTGCAGCTCTGGTGTCTCTCTCTTGGTCTCTCTTTGGCTGAAAAAAGAAGAAGCAACTTCAATCTTGAAGTACCCTGAAACTCATCTCCCACCCGGTTTCTACCGGATCTCCCAGGCGCCACGCCAGTCGTGTCCCTCCTGTTCGAACACCCAAACCCTCCTCCATTCCTTTGCCCTCCCCGGCCAGTTCGGACGCCCCAGGAGTGGAAACCCAGCTTCCAAAAGGGTCAGCCACCCAGCCGTTCTGCGGTGCTCAGCCCCTCGGACCGCAGCTGAGTCCGGCGGAGTGAGTCAGGTCCGGTGAGGGGACGACGAGCAGGGGATTCCGAGCAGGGACGAGGTGGTGAACGGCTGGTGGGTGGTTCTTTTCGTTCCCGGATTCTTTTTGCGAGGTTCGTTTTTTCTTTTTTCTTTTGGCGGATATGTGTTCCCGAAAAAGAACAAGACACGCTGCTGGCATACGATTCTGCAAGGTTCGGTTCGGTGGACGTTCATGATGGTTTTTGAGATCATTCCTGTGATGGCGTCACTAGTTAGTGAGTTTCAGCTTGAACGCCACAAGACCCGCCACGCCTCAAAAACACAGCAAGGCAACGTTGCCGGCTTTGCAAGATGAAAATCCTTCTTTTCTTGCAACACTTGGATACCGGTTGGATACAATCTTCTTGGACAAATCATTTGAAGTGAGTCGACCGTTTCTCAGCTTTTTGTATTTTTTGGTTGTGAAAACCCATTTTCTACCCCAAACCGCACGACCGTGCAGAAATGCGGCTCGCGCGACGCTCGACATGAAGAGTTTGTTGGCGAGGCATCTGTGCAGGGCCCTGGATCTTGGCTGTGGACTTGCTCCCCTGGAGGAAACAGACCTGTGCGCCTTGGCTTTAGCTGGCGACACTAAACAGAGTCTACAGAGACGATCGCAAACAGAGGGGGGCGACCGCAACCAAGCCGAAAAGCAAGGTGGATTTGTGGGAAGTGCCTGGGGGTGAAATCGGGATTTTGAGGGGCATCTGAGTCGCCCGGCCGGCTGAGGAGCCCTTGTGCGAGGGACTGTGGAGCTTCTTGGAGATGCTTGGCTTGTGAGACCGATCTACAGGTGGCTTCAGAGTCGATATGGCACAGTGGTTTGCATGGACCCTATGGACCCCCCTAACCCTGTAACTCTGATTGACCACCAAAAAGGAACAACCAAGTCCGAATTCCTCTCACCAGGATTTTTTTGGGGCTCCAGGTTTTGACCCACAGCCATTACAGTATTTTAAAATGCATCTTTAGGGTTTTGTGGCAAGCCACTGTGAAAGCACTGTAAGTCGGCACTGTGAAACCACTTGAACTGGAAGATTTGGCCGGTTTGGCTATTCGGGTCGCCTGTCCAGGATCTGGAGACAGTTACTCCCCATGTCTTCGGACACATGGTCCGGTGATTGGTCAGGTTGCCGACCTGCCTGAGGAACGAGCAGAATACCTTCTACGGTATGGGCTTGGTGGGGGATCTGGCTCGCAGCTTGGCAGGGGAGGGGGACGTCTTCGGTGGCGCCCTTGTCTTGGTTTCTCGATTCAACCCTAGGGCTCCCCCATCTCCTCAGGTTCGGTGGGAACAGACCCCCCTGGCACCCACCTCAACCACCTTACCTGGGGATGTGGGCCAGGCCTAGAGCAAGAAGATGTGGGTCTTGCTGGTCTTGGTATGTCTTGGTGACTTGCTTGCTTGGTGCATTGGCAGTTGTCTAGCGAGCACGTCGTCTTCACGATGCCCCAAATCCTTCGAATTGGCTCACATCTTGCTTAGAGGCCCACAACAAAGATGATATAGAGGGGCCCACAAGAATTCACATCTTGGTTGGCTGCCATTGCTTCTAGGTTGGAGGCCATTGCTATTTAGATATCTCTTTGTCAAGGGCAGAACACCACCTGCCGGTTTTTCACAACGCGCCCCCCCCACTCCGCGGCACCCACACTGGCAGAGAGGCGCCTGAAACGCTGCCATGGTGGGGGTGTAGTACAATAGGGAGACTGCAGAGACCCCCTGGCCACTTGGTGTTTGTGATGGTGTTGGTCTATTCTCCTTCTTCCAGGGAGTTGACCTGCAAGTCCCTTGAATGCACTTCCATATGTAGATGTTGGAAGGCAAACCGATTTAATTGCATAAGAATTGGTGGCTGAGGCTTGGCCTTTGAGTTCGACTGCGTTTGCGACGGAGTGCCTCGAAGCGTGTCGCTCGCAGCCGCGAAGCAACGACGTGCCACACGCGGGCGGTGTTGAGGGGGCACTACGGTGGGTCGCGGGGTCGTGGCACCACGTCAAAGTGATGTGGGTGTGTAGCTCTACTGTTGACCACCGAAGATGAACAGATTGGCCAACTGAGCGGTCAGCCATGTCGACGAACCCGGAAAACCGACCCATACTTGGAACATGCGCCCGATTTTTGGACGATCAACCACCCAACATATGGCCTTTTCATGCTTTTTTTTCCATGCTTTTCCTGTCACATCATTACAATATGGTTCTATAGGTACCAGGATCTTTCCAACTATTGTAGAGT